ATATCGCGCGGTCGTTAAGTGTTGCACGCGATTCATGTCTTATGGCTCCCATTGCGAAAATACCCAGCTTGAAATATTCCCTCAATTTGTTTTTAGCGACGATGGGATGACGGAAGAAGTCTTCGATGAGGTTTTTCGTTTGCTCCTGCGTTTTCTGTTCACAGTGTGTGATCACCAAGGATATGTGTTTGTCAAAATAAGGATATTTCTGTTTTACGAACAACATGGCCTGTATGTCTTGCTCATTAATTCCTCCGTATAAACTGAAAACGAACACAAACATGTGGATGTTGGTAACGTCTTTTTTTATGCATCCATTTAATACTCTAACAATTTCTTCATTGGATAGCTGGTTCTGGCGTTTCGACGGAATATCGAAGAAACCAGGAAGATCGATCACATTGAAATGGTACCAAATATCATTTTCATTATCGAACGTCGACACTTTGTGATGCTGCAGCTCTTTCGTTTCTGAATATAGCTGAAGAGGTTGTGAAACATACAGGCTGTTCGCAATTACATTGGCTATAGTGGTTTTTCCGCTTCTTGCACGTCCCAGAAGAATAATGTTTTTATTATCACAACGTCTGAATAAAAAATCACTACTACGATTATGTTCTTCTTTGAGTTCGGTTAACAGCAACGAAAATGCTGAATCTGATTCTTCCGGAAGATTCCTACGAATATTTGTCATGTTCTATTCGAGTATGTAAGTCATTATCTGGCGGATAATTTCAGATGAGGAGTCCTTATCTAGTTCTTTCTCTTTCCAACTCGTGAATGTTTACAGGTTGTATGTGACGCGCTCGCATCTTATCCTGGTTTTGTGTACCTTGTAAAACCTGTAGAAGAGACGGTCCTCTTATTTCTTTTCTGATAAGCAATATCATATATTTTCACTTACTTCACTGCATCATCCTCTGTTCGTGGAAAATGTGAGTAAGAAAAACGTTTTTCACTTTCAGTAAGCATGGCTTCACGTGACTCTGATGCAATTATACAGAAGAAACGTACAGTCATTGATGCTATTAAGCACAATCTTCAATACACTGTAAACGAAGAAAAGGTGTACCAATTATCTGACTGCACCGAAAAATATGTTATTATTTTTGGGTGGAATCATTCAAGCCGATTATTTATGTTTCAAGTCATTCGCGACAGTGATGATATTTCGAGCGAGTGTTCTACCAGTAGTCTTAAGGACGCAATACTTACAACTTGTTATGTGAAGTTTAATGATGAAAAAGGAACAAATATCTGTGTGTTGAAACTAATCGACACCCCTGCTCTGCAACTGTTAATGCCCCAAACTGAGGGTGCCATGGGCGGCACACAACAACTACCAGATGGAGCCAATACTTTTGAGTCAGCTTTTGAACAACATAACTCGTGCATTCTCTCGTTTGCCTCTCAAATCGATTTGTTCATATATGTCTGTGAAGATGGAGAAGAAATGAAGATTTTACCATGGTTGGCATTGACAGCAGACCGGAAAGATCGCACTTATCTAATTCTTAAACTTGATAAAACTGTTAGTGAGCAAGAAAGACAACATCGAATGGATAAAATAGCAGAGACTAATGAAATTAAAGCATATTTTGACGATCGTATCTTTTGTTTGGCTGCCCCAACTCAAAAAAAAGATGAAAATGAATCAAATAATGTTAACATGATGAGATCTAAATTTTTAGAACATTTCCTTCTTCGAAGTTTTGATAAAAAGTATGAAGTTCAACCAAAACAAAACATCCCCGCAGCGCCAAAACGAAATAATTTATTCAACAGTTTTTTTAATAAAATAATGAAATAAACAAAATCTATCCAAAATAATCATAAATACCTTCAAAATCATG